CGCAACATTTTTCAAGCTCTTTCTTACTGTAAAACTGTCCAACCTGTTAAGTTATCCCTGACTTCTGATTTGGGAAGCCTACAGTTGTCGGCTTCGCTACCTTTCGACATAACAAAGTGTCAACAATCGCGTTTTTCTATCCACGGACACGATAAATGACACTAAAACAGGAAGTTGAAGTCGAGTGGGAATTCTACGATGATCCGGCTCAGCGACACCTGTTGTTTTCCGATCACGCCCGGGTTGGAAATGCAGAAACGACTTAAGTTATAGTAAAACCACAGTCACTATACATTTTAAGCCCGATTCGAATAGGACGAGAATAATTTACCTTTTATCATAAAATTAACGACTGATAATACGAGATAAGCGAGTACCTTCGAATCTGCAGGCTGGAGAGAGAGGCTAAAGCGTTTTAGTAAATTTACTTCTCTTTACAAGCATGCCCGAGGGATTGACATTTCAACCCATAGAAGACATATCTTATTACACAAAACCCAGTAAGCATGTGCCAACAGAAAGAAATGCTAAAATTCAGCCACACGTACTTCCCTAAGCAGGTGGGAGAATTATGCTCTTGGAATGGTTGTGATTACTTGATCCTCTTTGTTTACCGCTAGACTATCCGTGCAATCGTTGATGAACGTTAATTTGACTGCTAACGGGACTCATCTGTCCCACTCTGCCTTGGGTCTCACCAGAGACCCTGCCAGCTGTAACAGCTGATAGTATAGGCAGATAATATTCGTCTTCGGCAGCATTACTTCACCCCCCATTCACAATTGCCTTTTTTCGCATTTGTGCCCCCCCTCCCCTAACGCGCATCCACTTATACACGTACATGCACTGTCGACTCTAAACATTTGAATAGGTTGCCTCGCCCTAGGCGGTAAGATGTAATATGAGGTGTGTAAGATGTGTGATTTCCTCGGTGCCAGTTTCGGCGAGCCAAATTGCTCAATAATCCACATGAGGGGGAGGGGCAAAACTCCGGTGATTAACAGCTCGCCTGTGGGTGGCTATCGCATCACGTGCAACCACGTGCAGCCATAAAATGGCATAGCGACTACATCCTGTAAATACTGCAACAATTGTGCAGTCTACTGCCCTTATCTGGAGTAGTCTCTGATGATATATTCAAGTGAGAATCCGAAATGTCAGGTTATTGTTCCAGCGATCGTGTCTCCTTTTTCACGACTGCATCGTGGAACTCGCCTCTTCACTTCTGCTTGCCCCAAGAGCTGTTTTTGCAGGGGCGAGAA